ATGCATACATGCATACATGCATACATGCATACATGCATACATGCATACATGCATACATGCATACATACATACATGCATACATGCATACATGCATACATGCATACATGCATACATGCATACATGCATACATGCATACATGCATGCATGCATACATGCATACATGCATGCATACATACATACATGCATACATACATACATACATACATGCATACATACATACATACATACATGCATACATACATACATGCATACATACATACATACATACATACATACATACATACATACATACATACATACATACATACATACATACATGCATACATACATACATACATGCATACATACATACATACATGCATACATACATACATGCATACATGCATACATGCATACATGCATACATGCATACATGCATACATACATACATGCATACATACATACATGCATACATGCATACATACATACATACATACATACATACATACATGCATACATGCATACATACATACATACATACATACATACATACATACATGCATACATGCATACATGAGAATGGTGTTTTACAAAACCCATCTATACAAAACCCATCTACAAAACCCATCTACATAACCCATCTACAAAACCTATCTACAAAACCCATCTACAATTACTATTACAAAACCCATCTATACAAAACCCATCTATACAAAACCCATCTATACAAAACCCATCTATACAAAACCCATCTATACAAAACCCATCTATACAAAACCCATCTATACAAAACCCATCTATACAAAACCCATTTACAAAACCCATTTACAAAACCCATTTACAAAACCCATTTACAAAACCCATTTACAAAACCCATTTACAAAACCCATCTACAAAACCCATCTACAAACCCCCAATAAGTGGATTTCATGCAGTGTTTATTTATTTATCTAAAATTCTTTTTACACGGTAGCTTATCAACCTATATCTATATACGTGTAGCTATTTCAAATAAGGTTGTCCCCGTGCAAAGCGGAAACTTCGAATACGAGCACGAAAGGTTTCTGGGAATCACTAAAAATATACTATTCATTAATGTTTTAGCGATTCCCAGAGCAACCAACAATGAGCTAAACTATGGTAAATATCATGCATATACTGGAAATTACTACATTATAATATTCCATAAAAAACGTGCGCTCTAAATGACAGCTTAATTATAGTGGAAAAAGATGTTTTAGCAGTTACTAGCAACTTGAAAATTTATTCAGAAATGAGACATTTTCAGGAACGAAATCATGCAATTTATTTTAATTTGAACACTCTCTCAGAGATCGTGAGATTTTTCAATTCAGTTGGCAGATTATTCCAAGTTTTAGCACCATGTATATACAGTAGCTAAAAGTTCGCTTCATTGCATTTGTTCTTGGTTTTGCCAGTTTTAGCATAGTAAATTACTACGTAGATTATATTGATCGCTTACTGAAATGTTAAACTGCTCTGATATTGCTGTAGGAACTTCTTTTTCTAGTATTTTCGCATAAGCAAGAGTGTATTAACCAATATTATATATCTCATATAGTGGTTACCAATTCAAATTGCATATAGAACATCTTTTGAACGAGTCTCCCAATTATCCCCGGTTATGTTTAAAACTCTTGCTGCCCTATTTTGAAGCTTTTGAAGTTTCAATTTCCACTGTAGTTTAAAATTTTGCCATACCAGAGAGCAGTAGCCAAAATATGGCAGCACAAGAGCATTCTAAACCAGATTTAGGCAATCCTTTGGACCATTAGTCTTCAGATCAATTTTATCGCTCTTATTCCGCTCGGAACTTTTTTGCTGATGTGATATACGGTCTCACATTTCAATTTATCGTCAATGACCATGCCAAGACCTTCAGTTATATTAACTCTATTAATAGATTCGCCGCCAATTTTAATTGTCGAATCTACATAAATCTTATACTTAGATTATAACGAGATCCTATAATCATAGGGGGCTTCGGTGGCTAAGTGGTTAGCGAACCTGCATGCCTTTCACCCCTGAGGCCGCAAGTTCAAGCCTGAGTGAGACCCCCCCCCCCCAGCGCGACTCGGATCCAGTCCTTACTTGAAAAGAGCAAAAGTCAACGCTCTCCCGAAAATCGTGGGTTTTCTCTAGGTAGGCTACTCCGGATTCATCCCACAGGGAAAGCCGACAGGGTGGGTTAGGCACATAGGTCAGGGGTCAGATCATTAATGAGGTATGGACTAATAGCGGCTGCTTAACTGAACGCCATCTGTAAGCTCACAGTCTACCTCGGTCTGCTCTAATGTTGCTGCTTAATTAAAAATCCTGATAATGGAGTGTCCTTAGTAATATATGCATATATATGTATGTATACATTCTGTTGTAGAATTGTTGAGAGTTAATTTGTATGCCACTAACCATTGACAAATATCGCTAAGATCGGAGTTCAATTTTGCCTCCAATTCATCTACGGATGCCGCAGACGCAGAGATATTAGCGTCATCTTGAAACATCGCAGGTACCGGTTTGTCTGATCAAGACAATTTGGCTGGTCATTGACATATAATAAGAATAGGAGACCCTGGGAAACACCGCATTCAACTGGTTAATTTTCTGAATGATTTAACGCTATTTTACAAAATACACAACAATGGACCTCCGAAAACGGTTAACATTTTAATTCAAATGTTAAATGTTAACCGTTTTTGGAGTGGCCATTGTTTTGTATTTTGTAAAATTACTCAGTGGTAACCGTAACCTTTAACGTTATTTGCTTTATATGTTTGATATCTTTTTATTTTTAAACCAATTTAGGACACCCCATGAAATTCCATACAGTTTTCCAATTAAGATTTTATGGTCAACAGTGTCAAATATTTTCCGTAAATCTAGGAACAAGACTCCATTTATGAGACCTCAATTTATTAATATTTAGGAGTCACTTATTTGTATAGCATTTAACATGGACGTTCCAGTTCAATGGAATTTTTTTCGAAATCCAAATTGGTTACCTGACAGAACGTTGGTCTCATTTATGTATGAAATTAACTGATTGCAAACAGTTTTTACTAAAATTTTCGCAATAATCGATAAAATTGATATAGGCTAGGATATAATTGCTAAAGTCAGATTTGTCACAGTTTTTATAAATATAGGGGTGACAAAAGCGGTTTTATGGTGATCAACTTATAATGGTTCACACTTTAATTAAGCGAGCAAATTACGCCTAATTTTTCTATTCCATGTATTTAATCTATTGACTGCACGCCCCTCCCCAATCCGTTTAGGGTTAGGGACGTGTCAAGGTTGCTGTTCTGATCGGTTGACTGCCAATTGAATGCATGACGTTGCACGATATCACAAGAAATATCTTATAATAATAACGAAGTAAGACGAAAAAGATTTCTTGATTTCTTAATCCATAGGACACCCAGTATAAAGTTCCATCCTCAAAGATGGGTGTAAATTAAACGACTGCGGTATAATTTTGACATAACGAGCACTGAATGGATTTTGGAAACCATTGGTCACAACCGTTGTTCTATCTGTGTTTGCACTGAAAATCTATTAAGAAGAGAAAATATTTTACATGGCTGTTATCATGGAAAGCGGTTACAAATTATTACAACACTACAGATTAATTGATACAAAGTTTAAACCAATTTTGACGATCGTTAAGACATGATTAGTGCACTGGTTGCGTCTGCATAGCTATACAGTTAATTTCAAATATTAAAGTGCTTATGTCACAAATTTCTTTTTTTATTTTTGAGTAGAGGACAAAAAATTAGTTAATGGGTTCTTTCACATTTTTCGTTTTTTTTTCTCTTTTCATTCACGAGATATTCGGCTCTAAACAGCGATTTTCGTGAAAATGTCGCGTATCAACAAAAGTCTGGGATGAGCGTGGTGTGACATAGCTTAAACCCTTCTCGCCACAGGCCATATCGCGTCGATCCTGAGCGATCGACGGCTATAAATTTCATACCTTCGGTTCAGTGCATGCTATGAAGACAGAAATACCACCAATCGATTCAGAAATAAAAGATAGACTAGTTCCAAACGATAGTTATAGTCATTATTAACATTGTAACGATTTATGGGCCTTTGAAAGTCAAACACGATAATATTGTATCAAATTACGCAATTGTCTGAACAAAATATAGACTAGCCATACCTTTCGCTGAAAATAACTTCGGCCCCTTCGCACATATCGTCTTTGTAATAGTCTTGTTCGAATCCCCATCAAAAACACTATTTAGAGTGTTATTTGCAAGCCTGTATCTTCAAATATGTATCTTTTATCAATATATTTCCATTTCTTGTCCGACTGTAATGCGCGAATCAAATCGAAACTTTGACATCCCCCCCCGGGCATACCTGGGGAATTTGCTTGTTTAGTATTTTAAGAAGGCGGGAATTTGACCTTTTTTTCTAGTGGAAGGTGGGGAATTTGAAGGGGTCGGGAATTTGAATTTTTCTTTTAAACACGTGTGCAGAATCCAAAATGGCGTCAATAATTAATGGATGAGTTCAAGGTCTTCAAGTGCAAAGGAATTAACTTTGTCCTTGGTTGGCTACAAGAAAACGGCTTCGAATGATTGAAGAGAGTTTTTGAAGGAAAGAAAAACTTTGAAATTCCAAAATTGCAAAATGCTGTAGC